TGCCTTTCACTAACGGAAATTAACTTCTTTTCACTATTCAAAGGAGCCTTTTGGCATTGCTTCTAGTCGTCTTCTCCGGTACACAATTTGGCAATCCCTTTTTTGGTTGATGAAGGTGCATTTTTGGCAATTTCGAAGCTGTGGCAAATGTCGCCGACGATGGCACACGTCTTAAAGAAAAGGGATTTAATGGAAATGAACAACCACTTAGGGTTCAAAAAATTATTTTTTAATGAAATCAAAAGGTCTATAAATATTTTTAGACCTTCAGAAAATAATTTTATTAAAAATCTACGCCTTTGTAGTCCTTTAGATTTCAGTCCTTCAGAAAAATATTTTTTAAAAAAGTCGACGTGTAAAAACTCTTTGAGAAAAATACTTTTAAACCAGTGAGCGGAGCGGTATAGTCGGACGGGGCCGACCATATGATACCCTACACAACTTCGACGAAAATCTAACTTTCTATGGTTCTATATTCAGAGTTTGGGCAATATTTTGCAATATTTGTACCCTCTAGACCGACTAGATGTCAACAAATATTTCTAATATTCAGTAGACGAGGGCTGTACTTGTCCAGATTCTCTTTACCATGGGTTATGTACGGCTTTCAGTTATGGCCTATAGATCAACTCGAAAAAACACAAAAAATTACGTTTTCGGTCCACTTCATTCCAATATTATTATCTGATCATCAGCGAAAATTATAGGCATTGTCCTTGACCATCATGGAAAATTTCAAAGCGATCAGCGCTATATTTCCGGGCAATGGGTTACCAAATAATATCTGAATTCGTAAGCACCTGTAAATATTTAAGTGTAACTCCCTTATCCTACTACATACGATAATAAAATTGGTATCAATTCAAAGACCAACTACTCCTCTTGGATATACTATCAACTCCTCGGGTCTATTTCCTTCGGGGATATATGACCTATGGAATAAAAATTTTGTCATTTTTCACACAAAAGTCAGGGTCCATTTGAACCACTAATATTGACCGATCTTTATCAAAACAGTCATGCTTATTCTTTGGCTCGATCACCTTCACCATGTAAAAATTTACGATGTGTGGACCATAATTGCGGTCTGGAGCGACCAGAAAATGAGACAAAAATTAAGTATTTGGTACATTTATTCCCCCAAATATTAACCGATCTTTACCAAAAACCAATAGGGGTCTTCATTGGGCCGAACCCATCCTACATGCAAAATTTTGTGAAGATTGGTCCATAACTGTGGCCTGTATCGTCTTTACAAATTATAATGGACAGACGGACGGACGGACACACATGTCTAGATCGACTCAGCTAGTCGAGATATGACGATCCGTATACTTAAAGGTGGGTTAGGGCCAATATTTCGCGGCGTAACAAACTCTTGGGGCTGCACAAAGCTATAATACCCTGACAACATAGTTCTGTAGGGTATAAATACGCCTAAGAAGTCACTTTCTGAGTCAATTTATGCATATCCGTCCGTCCGTCTGTTGCTGTTAAATTATAAACAAAGTGCAGGTCGCATTTATAATCCGATTTGGATGAAATTTGTACGGCTCATTTGTTTGGCCCAGATTTAGATATAGCTCCCATATATACTTTCGTCCGATTTTATGTAAATGGTGCACCAAAGTCCCCATATATATCTTTCGAAATTTGGCACAGCGCACTTAATTGGATCTAGAATGATGTGTGCTAAGTTTTGTGAAAATCGGTCCAGATTTAGATATAGGTCCCTTATATATTTTCGTCCGATTTTATGTAAATGGTGCACCAAAGTCCCCATATATATCTTTCGAAATTTGGCACAGCGCACTTAATTGAGTCTAGAATGATTTGTGCTAAGTTTTGTGAAAATCGGTTCAGATTTAGATATAGCTTCTATATATATGTTCGTCGGATTTAATGTAAATGGTGCTCCAAAGTCCCTATATATCTTTCAATTTGCACGAAATTTGGCATAGAATACTGAATCAAGTCTAGAATGATGTGTTCTAAACTTTGGGAAAATTGGTTCTGATTTGGATATAGCTATTTTCGTCCGATTTTATGAAAATGGTGAACCAAAGTCGCTATATATCATTGCATTTGCACGAAATTTGGCATAACATACTGAATTAAGTCTAGTTTCATGAAAATTGGTTCAGATTTAGATATATTCGTCCAATTTTATGAAAATGGTTCACCAAAGTCCCTATATAAATTTCGATTTCAACGAAATTTGGCACAGCGCACCTAATTGAGCCTAGAATGATGTGTGCTAAGTATCGTGAAAATCGGTTCAGATTTAGATATAGCTCCCATATATGATTTCGTCCGATTTTATGTAAATGGTACACCAAAGTCCCTATATATGTTTCGATTTAGACGAAGTTTGGCATATCGTACAGAGTTAAGGCTAGAATGTTGTGTATTAGGTTTCGTGAAAATCGGTCCGGATATAGATATAGGTCCCTTATATATTTTCGTCCGATTTTATGAAAATGGTGCACCAAAGTCCCTATATATCTTTCGATTTGCACGAAATTTGGCATAGCATACTGAATTAAGTGTAGAATGATGTGTGCTCAGAATCGTGAAAATTGGTTCATATTTAGATATAGCTCCGATTTTATGTAAATATTGCACCAAGCCTCATATATTTTTCCGATTGAGTAGTAATTTTGCATAGCGTACCTGATTAAGTCCAGTTTTGTGTCTAAGAAGTTTTGCTGAGTTTCGTCCGATTTTTTGGTAAATGGTGCACCAAACTCCCAATAATTGTTCGAATGAGGCAAAATTTTGCGCAGTGTACTCAGTCAGGTCCAGATAGACGTATGCTCCAAAAAATATTTTCGCCCGATTTTATGTAAATGGTTCACTGAGGAGACTACGTCTGTTCCATATACACGAAATAAAATTGTGGACCGCTCACTGTGCTGCAGCGTATCAAATTGGAATATACCACGGTTGCTCAATACATAATTTTGCTCGGTTTTATACAAATGGTATATCAAAGAATCGAAGTCTACCCAATTGACCAGGAATTTTTCATAGATTTCAGAATGGTATGTGCATACAAAAATATAGGTTTAAATATGTATGTAGATCACACAATGAAGGGGACCCCCGATTCTCGGGGTCAAATTTTTTTTTAATTAATTCGATTCTACACTAATTCAAGAATGTCCCTACAAAATTTCAAGTGAAAACCTTAAGAACTCTTGAAGATATAGCCGATTTATTGTGTCAGCATCAAGTGACGCCTAAAGTGCTTCTCAAACTTTAAACGCGTTTTTCTCTTTTGCGAATGGCGGGCACGATAACTCAAAAACTAATAACCCAATCAATTTCAAATTTTTACACGTTTCTCTGTGAGTGTATAGCTATCATATGAACTAGGATAAAGTCAATCGGTGAAGATCTTCCTTATTCTTTAACTTAGTTTGTGGTCAAAAATCGGCGATTTTCCAAAAATATTTTTTGCAAAGATCCGCCATTTTGTTAATTTTAGAGCGATGTCAATAATCCTAGTTCATACGAGAGCCAGTCATGTACTCTTTCTAACACCGTTGGAATTTTCGGATTCCGATTTTTTATCAATGATCTCTTTTGCCTAAATTTTTAACAACACCATAGACTATTTGCAACAGCATTTAAACCAACGATACCCACACACAAAATCTAATAAAATATTTCAAATTTTTACCAGTGTTACCATATCAACTATAATTATATTTAAAATGAAAGCTGCATAAATATTTACAAAATTTATTTGAACTACCAACAACAACAAAAATACAAATTTATTTAACAACAACAAAAACCGAGCAACCAGTATTAGAAGAATTACAAAAAATATTAAAAAAAAAAATAAATAAATGATTTTTTCAATATTTCAAAAATAAATAAATAATAAAAATAACAAAACTGCCAAATAACAATTTTTTTTATAATGAAATTAAAATAAAAAATAGAACAACAATCACAACAATAGAAATATGTTTAGAATCAATACAAAAATAACAAAAATTAGAAGCTGAGTGTTGGTAAAAAAATTAAAAAAAAAAATAACAACAACAACGGTAGAAATAGTCTACCAAACATAGCTGAAAGTTACGACCACAACTATAACAAAAAAAAATTAAAACAACAAAGGATTAAGCCTTAGCCAAAGATATATTGCTGAATAACCAACAACTGAGAAAAAACAACAACAAATTCATATTTACCAAACAAAAGAGGAAGCCGCAACAACAACAAGAACAACAAACGCCGCAAAAACCAAACATATTAAATATGCATTTAAGATAATATCAAGCCCCCCTCCTCCTCTTTTACTACAAGTAAACCGGAAGCAGAAACCAAACCAAACAACAACAGCAACTTTAAAGTACACAACACTACAACAACAACTACAAAGAAACCAAAATACATATATATTTTTTTCTCTTTGTCTTTCAACAAAAATTTTTACAACAACCCAAAAACAAAAAAAAAACCTACAAAATATCTCTCTTATCAAAACAAAACATAAATTAAAGTACCTTTAACTTACCTACCTTTTACTTCTAACAAAAAAAAACAAATCTATAAAAAAATTAAAAATTTATTTAAAAAAATATTTGTTTATAATTACAAAAATATACAACAAAAACAAGACAACCTATATCAACCAACAAATATCATTTACAATAATTACTGATACAACCTATGCCACAGAGAAGCTAAAGGATAACGAGCCTCATAAGGATCTACGTACACCATCATCAATTGGACAAAAAGGAAACTAAAACCCCTATTTTTTTCAATGGAAATTATTTCCCAATTGCCAAAACTTCTATTGCTGTTATATCATTTTGAAAACCCCACCCCACGAAGAACTTTCAGTATTATAGTCGTAAGGAAGCAAAAGGATTAAATCCACACCACAAATTAAGCAGAAGTAAAGCGAAGCCGTGTAAAAGGAGCCGTAGTTTTTTTATTACTTCTTGACACCCCCCGTTTGTTAATAAATTACGAACATTTTGGTTTTCCTATTGAAATTTCATAAAACCAAAAAATTGGCTAAGCTGCAAATACCTCCTACCTGTTCATCATCAACCATTTCTCGCATAGATTTCATCGAAAGATGGGGCCTAACACCGGTATTGCGGCCACGACAGGAACAACCATTAAGCGGTGAAAATCTTTCTGAAGCATCGCCCCCTCTTCTGCGTGATAGGTAAGCAAGCTATATGAGAAGTGTAATTATATGTAAGATAATAAAAATAGGTTTTTAAAAAAATCCACCCCAAAGTGGTACAACCGAAAAATATTAAATAAAATAATTATTAAAAAATCCACGACTAAGTGGTACATTTGAAAAATAATTTTTAAAAAATTTAATTAAAAAAAATTAAACTGCGCCTAAGTAGTTCTTCAGAATTTTTTTCAAATCCACGCCCATGTGGTTCTTCAGATTTTTTTAATCCACGCCTATGTGGTACATCCGAAAAATAATTCTTAAGAAATCCACGCCTGGTTCTTCAGATTTGTTTATACCGTCCACCATAGTATGGAGGGTATATTAATTTTGTCATTCCGTTTGTAACTCATCGAAATATTCATTCCGACCCTATAAAGTATATTTTTTCTTGATCAGGGTAAATTTTTAAGACGATCTAGACTTGTCCGTCCGTCTGTCCGTCTGTTGTAATCACGCTATCTTCTGAAGGAATTGATATAGGGTGCTAAAATTTTGTATAGGGCTGTCTTTTGTCTGCAGGCAGGTCAAGTTCGAAGATAGGATATATCGGTCCATGTTTAGGCATAGCTCCCATATAAGGGTACCCCCCAATTTTGGGGGTCTTGATCGTATTTTTCCACCGAATTGGCTGTAATTTAGTATTTTGAGTTCTTAATAGGTTCCAAGCTGTCCACAAACAATTATGAACATAGGCACATTTTTTCGGTTAGCCCCCATATAGGGGTACCCCCAATTTTCGGTATTTTGGGGTTTTTGAGCGCTTTTTTCAACCGAATTCACTGAAATTTGGTACATTGGGTTATTATTGGGTACTGAATGTCTCCACAAAAAAGTATAAATATATGTCCACTTATTCTGGTACTCCCCATATAACGGCACCCCCAAATTTTCAGTATTTTGGGGGTTTTGATCGTATTTTTCCACCGAATTGGCTGTAATTTAGTATTTTGAGTTCTTATTAGGTTCCAAATCTCTCCACAAAAAAATATAACCATAGGTCCATTTTTTGGGTAGCCCCATATAATGGTACCCCCAATTTTCGGTATTTTGGGGTTCTTGAGCGCATTTTTCAACCGAATTCGCTGCAATTTGGTATTTTGTAGTCGTATATGGAAACAAATCTCTTCACCAAAAATTATTATAACCCCATTTTTTAAATTAAAATAGTTATCTGATTTGTTCTGTGTTTTGGGTTTGGTTCTAAGACTCTGTTGTAATCTTTTCACCTGCGGAGGATATCGAGATAAAAAACTAGAACGTAAGGTTCGATAATGAACTATAACCCGCATTTAGACCTAGCCCCTGCGTGGGAGGTACCAGAAGGAGTGGACCGGTATTCCCCATCTTCGAATTTGAACTAAATTTGGAAGAAATAGTAAGATGGGCAAGATTTGGATGAAATCAAAATTTTCTGAAACGGATTTTGTCCAATGAGACATGGGGTCAAAAACAAATATATTTCGATGAGGCACTTTTTCACCGTGTCAAAGTGTACACACCCTCATTAGCCGTAAGGCTGAGGGTATAATTATCCATTTTGAAATTTGTATTATGGTTTACATAATAGGTTTGTAGAAATGTCGGTATAGGTCCACTTTTTGGTATTTTCCCTATATTTTGATTTCAAGTACCTGTCAGTATATCTATGGACATACACCTTTTAATCCACGCTTCACTGGCCCTTTAAAAACATATTTATAAAAATACTCGCCTAAATTGTTCTTTAGAAAAATATACTTCTAAAAAATCCACTAAATTATTCTTCAGAAAAATGTTTTTTTAAAAAAACTACGCCATTTTGGTCATTTAGAAAAAAATCATTTTAAAAAATCCAATCCAAATCATAAAAAATAATATTCAGTACAGCCCTTATAATTACTTGTTAAGATTCCCTTCATTGTGGCTTGTGTTGTGATGTTCGGGTTTTTATTGTGGCCTATAGATCGACTCGAAAAAAACACAAAGAAAATAAGTTTTCAGTTCAATTTATCCCAAAATTATTATCTGATCATCAACTACAATTAGATGCGTTGTCCTTGACCATACCAGGATCTCGGGTCTATGTCCTGCAGGAGTAAATATATACGCTATAGAATACATTTTGTCATTTGACCCGCTAAATATTGACCGATCTTTATAAAAATTGGCATGCTTATGAGCCGATCCCCTTCTCCATGTAAATGTTCGCGATGTTCGGCCTGCGGCCTCTGTAGCGACCAGAAAAACCGACAAAAATTAAGTATTTGGTCCATTTCATCCCCTAAATATTAATATCTTTACCGAAAACAATAGGGGTCTTCATTGGCAAGATCATCATCCTACGTGCAAAATTTCGTGAAGATTGGTCCATAAATGTGGCATGTATCGTGTTTACAAGTTATAATGGACAGACGGACGGACAGAAGGACGGCCACACATGTCTGATCGACTCAGCTAGTCGAGATATGACGATCGGTATACTTAAAGGGTGGGTCTATAGCACAAAGCTATAATACCCTGACAACATAGATGTGAAGGGTATATTCACGCTTAAGTGATCCATCAGAATAATATTTTTTTAAAAATTCAAGAAAAAAAATAAAAAACTACTCCCACGTTGCACTACAAGAAAATGATTTTTAAAAAATCGCCTTTGAAAAATATTTTTCTTTTAAAATTCAAAACCTAACTGATAAACTATTTTTTTATTGAGGTCTAAAGAAGTATTTCCGGAAAAGAGTTGTCTCAATCCGCATATAGCTGGTCTTTCAAAACAATATAAAAAAATTCACACAGAACGTGGCCATCAAAATGTATTTAATTTATTATTAAATTAAATTATTTTATTTTTTTTTAATCCCTGTCTATTCATTTTTCTCAAATTCTCTAAAAAATCAATTATCTTCGATTTTGCTGTCAAATCATACGAACATCTACCAAAAAAAAAAAAAACGTTTTTCAATCACTTCGCAAATATTTATATGTATGTACAAAGGCAGACTCAGCCTTTGTATTTTGCTTGTTCAAATAATACCCTTACCATTCCTTCAACAGTTTTTCAAGATTAAATCAAATAAAATGTTTAACATTTTGAAATATGTATGTTGATACACACAGAAAGACTCACAAACACACATATTCCCATCCTTTTATGTCTTTAACAATAGCGATTTCATTCAATTGTGTGAGAGTGTTTGTGTGTGTTTGAAGTGCATGGATATTTGCAACTATGTACAACAATGTGATCTATATTCTTGTACATGTTATCTGTATGTATGTATTGTCATGGTATTTGCGTTAACTAACATGACACTTGTGTTCATTGTTTTCAGCGTTCTTAGAGGAGAAAGAGGATGTGAAGATAGGGGATAGGCTTCGAATTTAAGATAATTGGAATGATAACAGAACATGAACAAAATAGTCAAGTTTGGAAAAAAATATTATTTTAAAAATCCACGCTTAGTTAAGCTTGGAAAAATATTATTTAAAAATCCATGCTTAGAAGGGAGCTTGGGGAAAATATTATTTAAAAAATCCACGCTTAGAAGGGAGCTTGGGGAAAATATTTAAAAAATCCACGCTTAGAAGGAAGCTTTGGGAAAATATTATTTAAAAATTCCACGCTTAGAAGGTAGCTTGGGGAAAATATTTAAAAAATCCACGCTTAGAAGGGAGCTTGGGGAAATTATTATTTAAAAAATCCACGCTTAGAAGGGAGCTTGGGGAAAATATTATTTAAAAAATCCACGCTTAGAAAGGAGCTTGAGAAACAATATTATATAAAAAATCCACGTTTAGTCACCATTTACATTAAATCGGGCGAAAATATATATGGGAGCTATATCTAAGTCTGAACCCATTTTCAGAAAACTTAACACATATCATTCTATACCTAATTCATTACGCTGTGCCAAATTTCGTGCAAATCGAAAGATATTTAGGGACTTTGGTGCCCCATTTACCTTAAACCGGACGAAAATATATATGTGCGCTATATCTAAATCTGAACCGATTTTCAGGAAACTTAACACACATCATTATAGACCTAATTCGTTACGCTGTGCCAAATTTCGTGCAAATCGAAAGATTTATAGGAACATTGGTGCCCCATTTACCTTAAATCGGACGAAACTATATACGGGAGCTATATCTAAATCTGAACCGATTTTCAGGAAACTTAACACACATCATTCTAGGCCTAATTCATTACGCTGTGCCAAATTTCGTGCAAATCGAAAGATATTTAAGGACTTTGGTGCCCCATTTACCTTAAATCGGACGAAACTATATATGGGAGCTATATCTAAATCTGAACCGATTTTCAGGAAACTTAACACTCATCATTCTATACCTAATTCATTACGCTGTGCCAAATTTCATGCAAATCGAAAGATATACAGGGACTTTGGTGTACCATTTACATTAAAGAGATATATCTAAATCTGTACCGATTTTCAGGAAACTTAACACACATCATTCTATATAGAATTAATTACGCTGTGCCAAATTTCGTGCAAATCGAAAGATATATAGGGACTTTGGTGCACCATTTACATAAAACCGGACAAAACTATATATGGGAGCTATATCTAAATCTGAACCGATTTTCACGAAACTTAGCACACATCATTCTGGGCCTAATTCAGTATCCTATACCAAATTTCATGCAAATCGAAAGATTTATAGGGACTTTGGTGCCCCATTTACCTTAAATCGGACGAAACTATATACGGGAGCTATATCTAAATCTGAACCGATTTTCTTCAATTTCAATAGGATTCGTCCTTGGACCAAATAAGTGAGCTGTGCCAAATTTCACCCAATTCGGATCATAAATGCGACCTGTACTTTGTTTACAATTTAACATCAACAGACGGACGGACGGACTAACGGACATGCATAAATCGTCTCAGAAAATGATTCTATACATACTCTCAAAAGGAACCATGTGTCTATCTCGTTTCCTTTTGCCTGTAACAAACATATGCACAAAGACA